TGATGAATCTGTGAAGCATCTCATAACATGGATGAAACTGGAGGACATTATGCTGAGTGAAATAAGTCAATCACAAAAGGGCAAATATTGTATGAGGCCTCTACTGTAAAAACGCATGAAAAAATTTACACACAGAGAAGCAATCTTTGTTGGTTATGAGGGATGGGAGGGTTGGGGGGGAATACTAGACAATAGATAAGTGGTAACTTCTGTGAAGGGTAAGACAGTACACAATACTGGGGAAGCCAGCACAACTTGTACAAGGAAAGGTCATGGAAGCTCCATAGACATATCCAAACTCCCCGAAGGACTGAATTACTGGGCGGAGGGCTTTGGGGACCATTGTCTCAGGGAGCATCTAGCTCAATTGGCATAACACAGTTTATAAAGACAATGTTCTACATTCTACCTTGGTGAGTAGAGTCTGGGGTCTAAAAAGCCTGTGAGCAGCCATCTAAGATACTCCACTCGTCTCACCCCTTCAGGAGCAAGAGAGAATGAAGAGACCAGGATACAAGGAAAAGATTCGTCCAAAGGTCTAATGGACCACAGCTACCAAGGCCTCCACCAGACTGAATCCAATACAGCTAGATGGTGCCTGGCTACCACCACTGACTGTTCTGACCGGGATCACAACAGAGCATCCTGGACAGAGCTGGAGAAGGATGTAGAACAAAATTCTAACACTCAAAAAAAGACCAGATTTACTGGCCTGCCAGAGACTGGAGAAACCCTAAGAGTATGGCCCCCGGACACCCTTTTAGTTCAGTGGTGAAGTCACTCCTGAGGTTCACCATTCAGCCTGGGATTGGACAGCCCCATAAAACAAAACAGGACTAATGAGGTACAGTAGTCCAGGTTCAAGGACTACAAGGCAGGAGGGGACAGAAAGCTAGTGATAGGGAACCCAAGGTTGAGAAAGGACAGTGTTGACATGTCGTGGGGTTGTTAACCATTGTCATAGGGCAATATGTGCACTAACTTTCTAATGAGAAACTATTTTGTTCTGTAAATCTTCATCTAAAGTAAAAAAAAAAAAAAAGGAATTATCTATGTGAGATCAAATTGACAATACCAACTCAAAAGTTTTGATGGGAAGCCTAGGGGACAGTGAGTTGAAGACAATGGTGATGGAATAATTTGGAAAAGGATAGTGAGAACAGCAGCACAACTGGAAGAATGTGGTCAATGTCACTGAATTGTACATGTAGAGATTTTTGAATGACTATGTATATTTTCATCAAAAAGAAAAAGGTCCTCCAAGGTAGAGAAGGGAGAGTGTTGATATGTTGTGGGTTTGTTAACCAATGTCATAAAACAATATATGTACTGACTGTTTAATGTGAAACTATTTGTTCTGTAAACCTTCATCTAAAGTACAATTTTTAAAAATTAACAAAAAAATTGGAAGAGCAAGACTTAGATATTTGTCATCTTACCACAACACGGATTTCTATATTTGGCCAGGCCAAAAGCCCATCCTATTACAGTGAAATCACATGAGATTTGTTTTAATTATCAATAATAATAGCAATAATAATAGCTAACACTTATTGAGCATTTACTTTGCACTAGATATTGATCCAAGTCCTTTACATGATATTTAATATTAATACACCTTCTCATCTAGCAGAGAGGCTCATACAACAGAGCACATTCCATCAACTGGAACATTTTTCATTTACAAAAGTTTATAGAACTTTCCTCCAAGAAAAATAGAGCAGATATTTTTGCCACCACTTTTACCACAGAAAAAAATGAAATATGGGTCCCCAGACACCCTTTTAGCTCAGTGGTGAAGTTACCTCCGAGGTTCACTGTTCAGCCTGGGAGTGGACAGCCCCGTAAAACCAAATGAGACTAACGAGGTACAGGAGTCCAGTGACAAGGGCCAGAAGGCAGAAGAGGACAAGGAAGCTGGTGATAGGGAAACAAAGGTTGAGTAAGGATATTGTTGATGTGTTGTGAGATTGGTAACCATTGTCATAGGGCAACATTTGTAGTAACTGTTAAATGAGAAACTATTTTGTTCTGTAAGCCTTCATCTTCAGTGAGAATAACAGCACAATTGGAAGAGCGTAGTCAATGTCACTGAACTGTGTATGTAGAAATTTTTGTAACGGTGTATCTTTGGCTATGTGTATTTTCACCCAAAAAAAAAAAAAAAGGTTGAGAAGTTAGAAGGTTGATATGTTGTGGGGTTGTTCACCAATGTCATAAAACAACATGTGTATTACTGTTTCATGAGAAACTATTTGTTCTGTAAGCCTTCACCTGAAGTACAATAAAATATTTTTAAAAAAATAAATAAATTACAAAATAAAAGCCCAAAAAAAAATGAAATATGAAAAAAATTCAAAATGTGTACAAAGTCAAACATGGCTGCATTTACACTGGTAGGCAGCACTTTGTCAACTATATTATTTATCGTTTATCTAACTTAAAAAAAAAATTGCCCAGTAAAAAGAACTCCTGAGTCAAATTAGAAGTCATGAGAATAAATTTCCCCCATATTTCACAAGACCAACTTGGGAAATCCCACCATTGGCCAGTCACCAGAATTTTCTAAGTTTATTAACACACCACATAAAATACGAAATTTGGAAGCGATCCCTTGGCCTTAAGGGATCCAAAATGTTTGGATGCCTTTTGAGAGAACCAACCCTGAATGCAAATGAAGGCCCAATAGTATTCCCAGTTTTTGTCAATATTGTAGTATTCACAGAATTATTCTGGTTCTTGAATTCATTTAAGGAGTTTAAGTGTTTATACTGTATTTATTCATCTTATGTAATGATTAACCAGCATGCAGTCATTCAGCTCATTTTATTTTTTTTAACTTTAGATCTTAGCCAAGAGTCCAAGCTAATTCTGGAAGTAAAAGGAAAATAGAGTTGTCACTTGATAAAGAGAGACTGGTTGAATGAATTTCTACTTTTGATCCTTTTATCAAAGCATTTTCTTAAGAATCTTATCTTAATGATACTTCCCTGTTTTTTTCTTCTACTTCCAGAAGTCTAGCTTTCAAAATGTATGAATCACTAGGGAGGTTCGTCACTCTTCTTTATTTCACATGGTTTTCTGCTAACATAATTCAACCACAAAACAATTAAATCTTTCCGAGAATGAAAATCACGTAACTGACAAGTGTGAAGTAGCTCTTTCTTACCTTAGCATCTTTTTTGAGTAATTACTTCACTGAATGTTCTACCAGAAATGAGTTAGGCAGTTCTTGAGCCATGTGGAGGGTGATGTATAGATGATATTAGGTCTTTTGACATATGACACTGAAGCTAAAACATTTAACTTGATGGATAGATGGTATTTCTACAGGCTAACAGTATTCACTGAGGAGTTTCTAAATGTCTCAGTGAATCTGTAACCTTCCTTCAACACCTTTAGGCATTTCCTGGGGCAGAAAGCCCTCTTTACTGAGTGCATCTCTGGAATTATAGAATTTCTGAGCTGGCGAATAGCTATAAAAGTACTCATAACTACAAATCTTCTTGGATAGCAGACAGGGTATAAATAAACATCTAGTCCATTCCCCTCAATTTCCAGGTGAGGTAAAGTGACTTGTCCAAGGTCACTGTTATAAACTTGATCTCCTCAATTTGAATTCAGTTCTCTTCCCACCTTTGACACTGCCTCTGGTTTCAGAGTGAGCAAAAGGATATGTCAGATTCTCCTTAACAGGCAGGCTATTCACCTAAACTGGTTATTCTGTAGGATTGCCTGCTCTCATTAATTCTTTCCAGTAGGAAATTAATTTACATGGTGAAGAAGAGCACATGGAGGAAGATATAAGAAGGGGCCTATGGCTGCCAGTGACTGGCCAACAAGGTGGCAGATGAGAGGTGGGCAAGAAAGCTCTGTGAGAGCGTGTGTGTGTGTGTGTGTGTGTGTGTGTATCTGTGGATAACGTTACCAGTACCCATTATACCCATTGTCTTCAATTCCAACTCATAGTGACCCTATAGATGGAGTAGAACTTCCCCATAGGGTTTCCAAGGAGCTACTGGTGTATTTGAACTGCTGACCTTTTGGTTAGCAGCCAAGGTCTTAACCACTACACCACCAGGGCTAATGAATGCAATGTTGCCAGGGAAGTTTAAAATTTCTCAATTGGCAACTACAAAGTTAGCATTTTTAAATCAAATATAACTCACTGCTGTAGCCCTCCTGAAAAATTATACAGAATCTCTACTGAGTTTTTGACATGAAAATGAGTAATTACATACCCTTTTCTCCTTTCTGGCCTTTTAGACCTTGGGGCCCAATGACTCCTGGTGGCCCTGGAATCCCCATATTACCAGCCTCTCCCTTAGGACCTGAAAATAGGATGTAAAAATCATCAGGGTAGAAAAATGCTCTTTGGAAATCCATTTGTGCAGGAAAAAAAATGTCTTTTTATAGAGACCAGTAACTGTCAATGTCCTAATGATAAAATCTGGGTGAGAATAAACTATTACAGGGCTCTAAGGACAATACTTTTGTCTGATTTGCAATTCTGTACTACCTAAATAGACATATTGAACCTATTAGCACTTGTTGTTGGATTCGTGGCAGTGATCAAGTGATTCAGGGAAGCAACGCTATATCAAACAACAAGAACAAAATGATTATCTGACACTTAACCTCATGTGGGTCACACTTTCAAAATGGAAGCAAAAACACATCACCTAGCACTTTTGGATTTCCCAGTCATTCATCTATTTATTCATTCAAGAACTTTTGCTGAGACCTCCCAGCACCCTGCTAGGTTTTAGGAATGCAGCCATTGACAATTTTGGCAGCCCCTATCCTCATGGAGCTGAGAGTCTGTTAAAGATAAACATTGAACAAATAACCACACAAATAAATAGAAATTGCCAAACTGTAGTTAGTGACACAAAGACAAAGTGGGAAGGTTCTATTGTAGATTATGGTAAAAGAACCTAATTTATATGCATGGGGTCAGAGAAGACCTCCCTCAGAAAATGGCATTAAGCTAAGACCCAAAAGAGGAACTAGGAGATGCTGAGGCAAAAAATAAGTAGACAGGTATTTCTGGAAAAGCAAGAATGGAAAAGACCATGAAGTCTTCAAGAAACTGAAAGATGAGCACTTTGGGTAGATCCAGTGGTCAAGGCTAAGGCAGCAAAGATCAGCTCAGACTGAGCTCAAACTCATTGAGTGTCCTAACTCCTGTTCTTGCTCATCCAGGAAGTCCAGGTCCCAACCACTTACCAGGTCCACACAGGGGCCCCAAACCTTGGATAATCATTCCTTCCTGCAACCCACCCCTGCTCAAGCTTGTTCTCAACCCCTGCAACAATGTTTGATTGGAATACTTCATACTTAGATTCTTTGAAAGTTAACCATATAGGTAAGTGTACTCAATAAACTTATAATATTTCGTCTTATTTTCACCCTAATTATTATAACTAAGGTTAATAGAATAGACAAAATTACATTCAACAGAATTCCTCTTTGGGAGAACACTATTTTTTTTGGAACAAAACTTTAATACATCGCTTGTGATGGAGGGTAAGGCCAAAGGCTGGCTCCAGTAAGCGAAGGTGGTCGTTAAACTCCTCTGTCAAAAAACGAAGAGGGGAGGAGGCAGAAACAGAGAAAGAAAACAGAGAGTCATGGGGGGCAAGCAAGATGGCCAATTACATTTCACTAGACAGTGTGCCTTCTTCATGGCCCTCATATGCTCCATGTGGTTATACTTTTGAAGGAAAAGATAAGGAGCTGTGCCCAGGTTGGTATAGGGAGCAAAGAGCAACTGCGTGCAAGGGCACAAGGGCAAGGGAGGCTGCCCTTTACATCTAAGTTAGATGTACACCTGGGTTAGATTAGTGTAAATACTGTAAGGTTGAACATGATGGGAAGGGCTGGGCCTTGAAGACACACAGTGTTTGACACCAGGTTCTAAAGTCCCAGGTGATGTAACCTCTAAAATTACTTAAACTCTCTGAAATATGATTAAATCATTGGTGAAATATAATAATATTTTTAACATTTTGTATAAAGACTTTAAAAACTATAAAGTACCTAACAGTTCTTAGCACAAAGCCCAAGTTGCCATCAAGTTGATCCTTACTCATGGCGACCCTATGTGTGTCAGAGTAGAACTGTGCTCCATAGGGTTTTCAATGGCTGATCTCAACGTATTTCTTCGGCAAAGCCTCTAGGTGGACTCAAATCTCCAATCTTTCAATTAGCAGCCATGTGTTAACTACTTGCTCCACCCAGGGACTTGGCATATAGTAGGTAGCTGTTTTTATAACTGAACTAAAGAGAGAAGTTAGAGATGAAATTTTAAATGGAAATTTACCTTTGCCAGCTATTAGATATATCTGAATACTTCAAAATATTTTCATTCAGAAGCTCTATAAACTTAGACTGGTGACTTTTAAAAGCAGATAATGAAAAATGTGATGTATGCAATGTGTATGTATGTGCACATAAGTGTCCAAAAACTGAAAGACGATGAAGAAAAAATGAAAATAGTTGTGTTTAAGTAAGTTTACTTTCTTTTTTAAAGTTTGTTTAATGTTGCACTTGTACTAGATACATAATTTTTTTTAAATTAAAGGAAGCAGTGTTTTTTCAAACATCAGCAAATCCAGAATGAATATATCTCTATAGATCTCCAAAACAGGAACTTTCCATATTTGGCTCAGCATATTCCACAAGATAGGACCGGGCACCCACCACAACTACCTGTAAAAATAAAACTAAGTTATTGAGCATTTACTGTATGCCAGGTACCATTTGAGTCCTTACGTGGACTATTTTACTCAATTATCTTGACAACTCCATGATGTTGGTATCATTCTTATTCCATTTTACTATTTTGAAACTGAGACTTAGAGAAGTAACAAAACTTTTGTAAGGTAGGACCGTGTTAGACTTGATATCTGGGTTCTTAACTCTATGCTGTACAGCAGAACCAGTCAGACTAAGACATACAAGCACCCCAGACAGGCTAATAACATGGCATCCTTTAAAAATGTTTCTCACATGTATTTAGAGCTGAGGTTGAGCTCTGAGAACAGCCCAACCAAATCTACCCCGGGGTAAAACAAAGCTCTGATGTTACAGACCCCACAGTCCTTAGAAAGCAGTTTAGCAACAAGCTGTGTTTACTTGACCCTGCTCTTCGAAGATTTTCACCTACCACACCAACCAGCTTGCCAGCCACATATGGTACTTTCTGTAAGAGAAGTTCTGGTAAATATAGCTTTCTCAATCTCATTAATATTTCCAATAATGCTTTAGTGTCCCTGAAAGCATGGTTCACTGCCTAGCTCTCTCACCCTTTAATCTAGCTCTACATAAATATTCAACACATTTCCTGAAAGACCCATACAATACAATGGAATAAACAAAAAGCTTACTGAGGATATGTAATCATTGATTTTATAGCTTTAAATTTTTCAAGCAAGACACAACAAATAGTTATATAAATTCTTTTTTCAGGAAATAATGAATTCAAAGTTGACATTCTGATCTTTATTTTACCTTGAATCCTCTGCTATATGACATGTAAAAGCTGAAATGTATTACAGTAAAACTGAGAGTACATTCATTATGCATATATTTAAAAAAATACCAAAAAAGAAAAGAAAAACCATTGCTGTTGAGTCACCCCATCGGGTTTCCCAGGAGCAGCTGGTGGATTCGAATTGCCGACATTTTGGTTAGCAGTAGAACTCTTAACCACTACACCGCCAGGGTTTCCACATACATTAAAGACATTTAAAATTTTGAGATGTGTAAGCATGGCTTTTAATGGAGAAAATTGCTGGGCAAGGTGTTGCCTCAGAATTGCAATGAGGAACAAACAAAATTCTATGCTTTATTCTCCACCTCCCAGGAATTCCATTTCTAATCCTAACTACAAATAGCACTCCAAATATCCATCAGTCAACACAAATTCTTATTAGAGAACAGAATTTTCATTTACCTTTTTAAAATTAGCCATTAATGTAACGAATATACTTGTAGTGAATATGTGTAGCTTGAATAAATATAACGCCAGTGCTGGAGTTGGTAGTCTCAGTCTTTCTCTACCCAGCATTGCCCAATGGAACTTTCTGCAATGGAAAGAATGCTGCATATCTATGCTGCCCAACACAGTAGTCACTGGTCACATGTGGCTACTGAGCACTTGAAATGTGGATAGTGTGATTGAGGAACTCAATTTTTAATCTTATTAAATTTTAATATTAATACCAACAGCCACACACGTGGCTAAACCAAAAACCCAAACCTATTGCCTTCTAGTCAATTCCAACTTACAGCGACCCTATAGCACAGAGTAGAACTGCCCCATAAGGTTTCCAAGGCTGTAATTTTTAAGAAAGTAGACTGCGTCATCTTCCTCCCAAGGAGCAGCTGGTGGGTTCCAACTGCCAACATTTCAGTTAGCAGCAGAATACTTAACCACTGCACCACACATGTGGCTAGTGGCTACCATATTGGACAGCACAGCACCCATTTTCCTTTGCTGTCACAATGTTACACCTAGGCCTGTCGGCATTCCCATGACAATGTAGAAATCTGTAGGGAGATTTTACCCTTCAACCTATACCTCAACCCTAAAGATGTACAGATGAGAAATATTGTTTTATATATTTTAGTATACCTGGTTTTCCACTATCTCCAGGTTCTCCTTTCTGTCCTAGTAGAGGTGAACAACAATCACAACAATTCAAAAAGAAATCAGCTGTATCAAGAATGAAGTTTTCAAAAGAGAAGAGAGTGGCAGTGCCAAAGGCAGAATCCAAGGCCAACGGTTCTGTGGTTGGTTCTGCCATTTCAGCCATTTCAGTGATACCGGGTTCTTCTTTCAGAGGTGGACCGCTGGACCACTTTAGACCCTTCAGCATCTCTTTTCCCTTAGATTTCTTCATAAACTTGGTATATTGTGTGGTCTTTGCGATTGTGTCCATATCAGCAATAACCAGCATAATTAAAATGGCACAAAGCCAAGAAAACATCCACATATTTGAGGCTGGAAGGAAGATATAATGGGAATACACACAAATATTACTGGCAGTCCAAATGAAAAGACTAAGTGATTTAAATATTTACTTATATAAGATAAATATATATACATTTTTGGACCATGAAAATTAACAGTATGCATAATATAGAATGACATATTTTATATGTAAATGTGTGCTTGAATCACAACAGAGTATTTTATTTAAAGTATTTATTATAAGGAACATGTTGCTTCAATTCTGCTTTCTGGTTGTTTTCCCAGTGTTAAATATTCAAAAATACTGTTCTCATTCCTTCAAACTATCTTGCCAAATAAAAAACATGATCTATAATAAATGCAACATGACTTAGTAGCCCTGTGGAAAACCCCAAAAACAAACCCATTGCCATCGAGTCGATTCTGACTCATACCAACGCTGTAGGACAGAGTAGAACTGCCCCATAGGGTTTTCAAGGCTGTAATCTCTAAGGAAGCAGACTGCCACATCTTTCTCCTGTGGAGCAGCTGGTGGGTTCAAACTGCCAAACTTTCAGTTAGCAGCCAAGAGCTTAACCCCTGCAGGCACCAAGAGGTTATGTACCTTGCCCAAGGTCACACAATCAGTAAGTTATAGACTGAGGACTTGAATCCAGGTCTGTTTAATTTTAAAACCTAAATTCTTCCCCACAAACCATGTGGCATTTGTAAGGATAAGGTTAAAAAACAATAAATCCAAAGATAGGCTCAATGGAACAGACTTATAGAGGAGACAGGTATAAAACAGAACAGATAAGCTGGGACAAAGCTAAGAAACTTCATTTCCAAATTCATGTAAAAGTCCAAAAATATTAACCTCCCTTCAAGTTATCTTTGCCACTGTTTTCATCCATTCAACCAATATATACTCAATATTGGTGTCACAAACACAAAAAAATTGTATAAATTGGCATCAAACATAAGCCACAGTCTCTGTCCTCAGGGAGTTTACAGTCTAGAGGGAAAGAGATGAGAGACAACAAAAACAAGGAGAGCAGAGTGTGAAGGACAGATTATCACACTGCATCTCATCAAATACCTCCCCTCCCCCCGCCAAGAATGAATGCATAAAGTATGGTTACTGTGAATCAGCCAGCCAAATCCAGGCCCAGCAAATACTACACAACAGAAATATTCCATATGGCTATAAAATAATTGAATTTTCATTCTTTCATACAATTGCATTCAATAAAATAATTATTTGTTCAACATACTGGTACATTTATTTGAGCATCTAAGAAGCTCCATGTTCTATGGTGGGTCCTAGAATATAAAGGCAAGTAAAGACCAGCTCCTGTCCCTAAAGAGCTTATCACAGTAAACATCCAGATATAACTGGCCCACATCCCTAGGCTAAAAGGAAATCAGAGATTTGGCAGAATACCTAAGATGAAATACTGGTGACTTTTAATTCTGTCACTATTTTGCTTTAAGAGGAATTAGGGCTTGTAGAATGCTGATTGTTACTGCTGTAGGACATTGTTTGTGTTCTTCTAAACAAGTAATACCATGTTGGAGAACAATCTTCCTTTTTCCTTACTAAATCTATTTGTGTTATTCTTGTATATGTACAAAGTACTTCTGACCCTTGCAAAAGTGTAGTGATAGCATCTTGGTAAACCAGCCTTCAGGTGGCAAGTAAGAGCTGGTGTGGCAGGGAGGGGAAGGGAACTAACACTGAAAACATGACAGGCATGACAGGCACTTTACAATTGTTATTGCTATTATACCACACAAGAGCCATGCAAGGTACGATTTACTACGCCCATATGATGAATTCTAAAACTGAGGCACAGAGAGGTTAAGTAACCTGCCCAAGATCACAGTGTTAGTAAGTGGTGTACCTGGGTCCTTTTGACTCCAAAGTCAGCCCATGCACTTTCCACTGGGCCATGGTGCCTAAGGAGTAAAGAGTCATCAGGGAGATGCTGCAGAAGTAAACTGAGTCGAACACTTTGTGGAGCTTAAATCTAGGTCCTGAAGTGAAAATTAGTGCTGCCCCACATAGTGTTTGGCAAGCAGTGTTGTTGTTACTATTGTTAGCTGCTGCCCAATTGGCCTCCAGTTCATGGTGACCCCATGCACAAGGAACAAAACACTACCAGGGCCTGCGTGTTCTCATGATGAGTTGCAGATCAGACCATTGTGATCCACAGGGTTTTTATTGGTTGATTTTCAGTAGGTCTTCAGACTTTTTCTCCTAATCTGTCTTTAGTCTAGAAGCTCCAGTGAAACCTGTTCAGCATCATAGCAACACACAAGCCTCCACTGAGGGAGTGGTGGTAGCTGCACATGAGGGGCATTGGCCAGGAATCAAACTCAGGTCTCCTGCATGGAAGGTGGGAATTCTACCACTAAACCACAGATACCTCACAGGTCATCTATAAATGTTTGCTGAGTTGAAATGAGATGAATGTGCTAGACTGCATTATTAGCCCCAGTTTTTCACCCTTCCATGTATTCAAACCGTTTGCCATATGGATTTTGTAACACCTCTCATAAAAGGAATTGATTCTGTATCCCAATTGCCTTCACTCGGAGTTCAGCCTTTTAGAATAAGGTGGAAATTACCAGGTGCCAATTCTGAGCCTAAGTCTCAAGAGCCTTTGTGTGTTTCCACTTGCTCTCTTGCACTTTTGCCATTGCCATGAAAGGATATGTTTGGCCTAGCTTGATGGTCATGGGAGGAGAATGAGAGAGACATGGAACAGAGCTGCCCCAGCTAAGCTTCCCTAGCCAAAGACAACCAAGAGCAGAGTTCCCAACTGACCCGCAGATACACGAGTAAAACCAGCTAAGGCCAACATAGATCAGACAACCCTCACCAACACTGCAGACATTTTCAGTATTCTATTGCTGAGTCACAAACTAATCCAAAGTCAATGGCTTAAAACAACAACCATTTTATTGTAGCTCACAATTTTGTGGGTCAGGAATTCAGGTCTGGATCAGCTGGATGATTCTTCTGCTCCATGTGGCATCAACTAAGGTCACTCAGCTTTATTCAGCTGGTAGATCGACTGGTCTGGAGAGGCTTCTCTATAAATCTCGTACCTTGTCAGGAATGGATGAAAGGTGGGCTCAGCTAAGGCTATCAATTACATGGACTCTCTAGCATGACAGTCTTGAGATCGTCAAACTCCTTACATCATGGCTCAGTGCGCCCAAAAAGTGTCCCAAGGACATTGTATTAGTTTCCTAGAGCTTCCATTACAAAATCTCACAAAGTGGTGGCTTATAAGAGCATAAATTTATTATCTCACAAATCTGAAGGCTAGTAGTCCAAATTCAGGGTGTTGGCTTGGCCATGTTCTCTCTGAAGGCTCTAGGGGAAGGTCCCTTCTTGTATTTCCCAGCTTCTTTTAGTCTCAGGAGTTCCTTGGCTTGTAGATGCATCTTCACATGGCCGTCCTTTCTCTGTTTGCCCTTTTGTGTCCCTTCTCCTCTTTTATAAGGGCTTCATTTAGAGTGGATTAGAACTCAACCTGCTTCAGTATGGAATCCCTGGGTTGTACCAAAAAAAAAGGCATTTGGCTGCTAAATGAAAGGTTGGTGGTTTGAGTCTACCAAGAGGAACCTTGGAAGAAAGGCCTGGTGATCTACTTCCAAAAAATTAATCACTGAAAACCCTATGGGGCATGGTTCTACTTTAACACACGTGGGGTCACCATGAGTCAGAATCAACTAACAGCAACTGGTTTTTACTCCAGTATGACCTCATAATAACTGATAACATCTTCAAAGACCCTATTTATAAACAAGGTCATATTCACAGGTACCAGGGGTTAGAACTTCAACATATCTTTTTGAGGGACACAATTCAATCCATAACAGACATGGAAGCTGCCAGTATATTAAGGCCTATACCTGAAAACTGGCACTACAACACTTCTATTGCATTCTATTAGTCAAAGCAACAATAGAGCCCAGCCAGATTCAAAGGGAAGGGACACAGACCTCACTTCTCAATGTGAGGACTGTCAAAGAATCTCTGGCCATCTTGGATCCACCCCAGCCACACAAGATATCATTTGTTAGCCATGTAGTTTTGACGAGGTTATACAGAAAAAGCAAAATGATACAATAGTTCCAGCCTGTAGCCTAACGCTATTTTTTGCTACCATTGAGACAAAACTGACTAAGCAGCCTCCAGGTAGTGCCATCTCATCTTTGCCCCAGCAGCAGACACCCTTTGTGTTCCTCCCCTTGTCAATTAGCTCCCACATCCCTGGACGTCTCACCCACAGAAAGTGTTCAAGTAGAAGCTGAGCCTTCAGATGCTACTAAAAAAGACCTGGATGATTCTGTGACCTTGAAGTTCCCTTTAACCTTGAGATTCTCTGATGGGGTTTTTCAGCAGTGGACACTCTATAACTACATGCAAATTAACATATTCCATAGAATTTCATTCTAAATACAGTAGGCATTACACTTCTTCTAATGATGTACTCTTCTATCTCAAGAAGATGGTGCCCAATATTGGAGGACATTCTTCTAATATTTATTAATTCTTTCTCAATAGAAGTGAGATATTTTCACCTACGAAAAGTGTATACTTATAAAATGACTGGCAAGTGTTATGTTGAGGCTAGGGTCATAGATAATAGAGAAACTTCATAACTGACTAGTAAGTAATGTATAGAAAGGGACTAAAAGCCCTTGACTTTGTAGTTGGTCCTGGTGTCATGGATTAATCTGTGCCCTAACCCCCCTCCCCCCAAAATATGTTTTGGAATCCTAACCCCTATACCTACAGATGTAATCCTGTTTAGAAATAGAGTTTTTTGTTATATTAATTAGATCATACCTGAGTAAGACAAGTTCTAAATCTGTTCACTTCTGAGTTATAAAAAGAACAGATGAGACAGAAATACCTATGAGGATCTTCTATAAACCAAGAAAACAAGGAAAGCTCACGGCTACCAACAAGGAAGGAATCGACTTGGTTGAGACCCTCATTTGGTCTTTTAACCTCCAGTGAGA